GCTGCATCTTAATTTCATGCCCATCTCCCTGGGATGCAAAAAGACTGACTATCGAAGACTTTTTTTATTCATTCAACAAAAATTTATTGAGTGCCTCTGAGACCCACAATAGGATTTGATCTGCTCAGTGTGGTCAGGGAGGTTGGGATTGCCTTCTCTGAGGAAGCAAATCTGGAGTTGAGTTGAGAAAGATGGGTAATGTTTTAGGCAAAAAGTGGGTGGAAGGGTTTTCCAGGCACAGGGAGTAGCATGCACAAAGGCTCAATGGTGGGGCCTGGGGAGGACAGAATGCAGAGTGAGCACGAGCATGGGACAAGGAAAACAGATTCTGGGTGGGCAGAGATCAAACGATTCCAGTATGGTGGACCAGATTAAAGAATCTGGCCTGGATCGAAGGGCCATGGCAATCCACCGAGGCAGGGCATCACACGACCGGGTTCATACTACATCTATAGAGTTTAAAATAGGAGGAACAGAGTATCTTAAAGGACTTCAAGGTGATAGAAATGGGGACTGGAACTAGAGGTAGCTGAGGGGATGAAGAAGAGTAGGACGTGCTCGAAAGGTATGTAGGAGGTAAAGTAAACAGGACTTGGCAGAGAAGTAGAGTGGGCAGGTTAGGGGGCTAAGTCACTCATATGCTAGCAGGTAAGGATTCTGAATTCAGACATCCTGAGTTCAACTCCTACCTCCAGTTTTTACCAGTCTTTTTGTCTTGGATAAATTAACAACTTTCCCTCACTGTGCCTCAGTTTCCTGAGATAATAAAAGGATCAGTGTAGAAGGTTATTTTGAGGATCCAATTGATCTGCATGATGTGCTTAGAGCAATGCCTGGCACATAGCAGCCACCTGATACCTATTCGCTTATTTGTAATTCTTGGCTAAGGGCTCCTAAATAGCAGAGGTCATGCCTTTCCTCTGTTCCTTGAAGCATTAGGCACATAACAGGTGCTCAATGAATAATTTATTCAGTTTAGATCAGGATACATTTTCTTTTACCCTCAACATTCTATAAGGTTCTGTACTGTGCCAAGCTACCTGTTAGGAACTGGTATGCCAAGATGGAAGCAGACACACGAGAAACTCACTCCCTGCTCGCCAGAAACTCACAGCCTCAGGGATGACACTGAAGATATAAACAAATGAAAAATGAGTGCACAGATTCTGAAGCAAGGTGTGGCAGTGAGGACTGTAGAATGGAGTCAAGGGAGACATCACAACAGTTGATGTGTGAGAAAGGTTTTGAAGGAAGAAGAGGAGTGTCACTGTGAACAGTGCAAAGGGATGGAGGTATGGGGGTGGCACGGGGTGTTGAATATTGCTGGAGCATGCGGCTGGAAGGGGTTCTGTGTCAGGGGAGGAGGCCAGCGTCACAGTAGGAGCCAGACAGTGAAGGGCCCTGTGGGTCATGGGAGGATATTGTCATGAAGTGAAGGTAGGTCTTATCTGTGGAATGACATGATAAGCCTGGTTCTCAGATCCATCAGATCCTTCCCTGTGGTGGGAAGCATGAATGATTGATTGGAGGGGCCAGGACTGGAGGCAGGGGATCAATCTGAGGTTATCTCAACAGTCCAGGCATGAGACAGTCCCTGAGGCTTATATTAGAGAGACTGGCAGAGAGGTGAGCTATAGGAAGTAAAAATCAACAGGACCTAATTGTTTAGCAGTGGAGATTTACCCAAATGGAACTGTGTAAGCATAATTTAGTAGGGACCTGCATTTGTTTGGTAGAGTTGCTATAACAAAGTACCACTGACTGGGAATCTTAAACAACAGAAATATATCGTCTCACAATTCCTCAGGCTAGAAGTCCGAGAACATGGTGTCAGCACGGTTGGTTCCTTGTCAGGGTTATGGGGAAGAAGCATGTTCCATTCCTCTCCCCTAGCTTCTGGTGGTTTGCTGAATCTTTGGTGTTCTTTGGCTTGTAGACACAGCACCCCAATCTCTGCTTTCACATTCATACGGTGTTCTCCCAGTGTGTTTGCCTCTGTCCAAATTAACCTGTTTTTATAAGGACACCAGTCATGTTGGTATAGGGGCCCACCCTATTTTGGTCTGACCTCATTTTAGCTAATGTCACCTGCAATAACCCTATCTCCAGGGATGCAGATGCCCACTCTGGGGTCTCCTTGCACATGTGTGCAATATGTCAGTGGAGCTGTGCTCCTGCCGTGTGATAAGGGAAAAGGAGCCTATTCCGGTTCCATCTATAGTGGTTGTCAGGGAGAATAATAACAACTGTTTATTTCTGGAGTGGGCACACTGAGTTTTCAACTCTGGAGTCTTTCTGCAGATGTATGTGAAATGCCAAATGAAACTGGCCCCTGCCTGGCTTTTTTTATTCGGTGGTGGTATGACAAGAAAAATAATACTTGCTCCACATTTGTCTATGGTGGCTGCCAGGGAAACAATAACAACTTCCAATCCGAAGCCAACTGCCTGAACACCTGCAAGAATAAACGTGAGTCCTAGGGGCCCCGGTCTTTCATCCTCTCCAGTCTCATGCTGGGAGGTCTGGGTGTTGACTGGTCCTTTCCAGGACAGCTACGTCTTTGGCAGACCTGCTGCTGACAGAATCAGCTCCGATCAAGAGGTAAAAATGTACCTGGCAAAGCGGTAGACAAAGCTACTTTCTGGGAACTGAGGATGAGAAGGGATGTAGAAGTGATCAAGGCTGGCAAGTATGAGGGGAGTTAGGAGGGCTGGAGGAAGGGTGTAGAAGTGGTGAAGTCTCAGAGATGAATTGCAGAAGAGGCACAGGACGTTAAACCTAGACACGCTGACCAACCAACCCTTCCAAGCCATCAATGTCTCAACATAGCTCTTTGCCAGCAAGTCACTCCTATTTGTTTTTCCTTGAAGGAGATGGAGAGCTCCCCAAAGCAAACCCTCTTCTTTTTAGTGTTTTCCTGTGCAAAGATGTATACTCATAACTTCAAGCTCCAAAGATAAGCTGAACCCAAGATACTCACCTGTTTCTGTCCTGCATTCTCTACAGGCTTTCCCTGATTGGATAAGGACAGGCTGGAAGAACTACCAGAGTGTGGCTCATGCTCTGAGGACTGTTGGTGTACTTGACTGATGCTCCAGATTGACTTCCAGTTTCACTCGCAGCATCCCAAGATCTTAGCCCTTCGACAAACAGAACCCTTGCATCTCCCTCCTTTTCCTTCATCTTTGGCTCTTTTGATGCACAATATCCTACCGTTTTGATTTCATCTTTATGTCCCCTTTATCTCCAACTTCTAGAGCTCCCAGTTGATACCTGTGTCACTCTCAATTGTTTCCAATAAAGAACATGATGTAATCCTGTGCCTCTGAGGCTGAGTAATTGACATCTTTTTGGCACATTACAACTTTGCAGAGTAAGGGATCATTGAGGCTTCTGGTGACATCATTCAAGGGAGTGAAGACAATCAGAACTTTGAGAGTTGAGACTTCCAGGGTTATTGTTATCTTCCTCTGTTTCTACAAAAGATTGTAAAACCCTTTTTAGTCAAGGACCAAAGGACAATGCCTTAGTTTGGATCCTCTAGAAAGTAACCCAGGGAACAGGGCATGGGTGCAGGTAGTTAGTTTGAGATATCTCCCAAGACATACAAGATGGGGAGTGGGATGAGTAATTCAGGGGAGAGAAGGGAAGAGAGAAGAGTATTAAGAGCTGGGTACCACTGTGGCTGAATCCTACTGGGGACTTTTAAAGAATCATGCAAAACCGACTTATAAATTTTCTTTTTAAAAATATTTTATTTTATTTTAAGTTCCGGGATACATTTGCAGGACCTGCAGGTTTGTTACATAGGTAAGCCTGTGCCATGGTGGTTTGCTGTACCTATAAACCCATCACCTAGGTATTAAGCCCCACATGCATTAGCTATTTATCCTGATGCTTTCCCTCCCCCTGTCCCGTCCAGATGCCACAGTGTGTGTTGTTCCCTTCCCCATGTTCATGTGTTCTCATTGTTCAGCTCCCACTTACAAGTGAGAACATGTGGTATTTAGTTTTGTTCCTGCGTTACTTTGCTGAGGATAATGGCTTCCGGCTTCATCTATGTCCCTGCAAAGGACGTGATCTCATTTCTTTTTATGGCTGCATAGTATTCCATGGTATATATGTACCAGATTTTCTTTATGCAGCCTATCGTTGATGGACATTTGGGTTGATTCCATGTTTTCGCTATTGTAAATACTGCTGCAGTGAATGTATCAGGCATGTATCTTTATAAAAGAATGATTTATATTCCTTTGAATGTATACCCAGTAATGGGATTGCTGGGTCAAATGGTATTTCTGGTTCTAGATCTTTCAGGAATTGGCACACTGTCTTCCACAATGGTTGAACTAATTTCCATTCCATTCCACCGACAGTGTAAAAGCATTCATGTTTCTCCACAGCTTTACCAGCATCTGTTGTTTCTTGACTTTTTAATAATCACCATTCTGACTGGCATGGCATAAACCCGGGAAGCGGAGCTTGCAGTGAGCTGAGATGCGGCCACTGTGCTCCAGCCTGGGCTGCGACAGAGCGAGACTCCATCTCAAAAAAAAAAAAAAAGAAAAAAAGAAAAAAGAAAAATAAAACATAAGAATAGACATGTCAGGAGAAGTGTGAAATTAGAAAGAAGGAAGAGAGCTAGCATACTCTTAACCTCCAAACTCCCCCTGGGAAATGGGAGCCTCTGGAGTTAAACCTCCCCTTCTGCTAAGAGAGCCTGGGAAGCGCAAGACAAGATGTGCCCTCTTTCCCTGGCAGACCAGAAAGCCTCAGATTGCTGAGGATCAGGAGCCGCCTATCAAGGCCCCCTTCCCCCAGGTAGTCCCACTGATGGCCTCAGGGATCTGGTGTTCCTGATGGGGGAGTCTGGCTGGCTTGTCTCCATGACTGTCTCTTGGAGTGCTGGGGCACACCAGGGCAGGCAAAGCACAGAGGTAGGAGCTGCTGAGCAGCGTTTCTTAGTTTTGGTGCCATCAACCGGGCTAGTACTTCCTAAAATGGGACTCTGAGGACTTCTGCCAATCCTGGTACCATTCTTCCTTCTGGGGGATGTCCAGAAACCTGGGCACGCTGAAGGGATCTTTGGCAGTAAGTATTGGGGACTCAGTCCTTGAAATGGAGAAAGGAAACTTGGTGGGGAGGAAGGAACAAAGAATAATTTTGCAGTTGAGCAATTATTTTCTCCACCTGTGCCTGGGATTCCGGGTGGGAAAGAGGGAAGCTATTTGGAGTCTCTTGGTAAGAGACTCCCTTGGTGAATATAGGCATCTGAATCTGTGGCAACTGACTCCTTGCTGACGTTCTAAAAGGTTCTTGCTGGAGGTGCCTGGACCTAGAGCTCATGAAATGAACTAAGAAAGAGTAGTAAGCCCAAGGAAGTCTCCCATAAGAAAAACAGCCTGCTCCCCACAATACCAACTGTGTTAGCTTCCAGATGTTCTCATTGCAGCCCCCACACCCATACCCACTGAGGACCCTAGCCTTTGGGGTAAAGAATGGTCTCCAGAAGTCCCTTGGAATGCTGAAATGTGAAGACTCACAATTAGCAGCTAACTGTACTGAGCACTGAAAATTAGTGGTTGAAAGTGAGCACTCAGGAGCCACACATTGTAGGTTCAAATCCTGGCTCCATCCCTGAGTAGCTGTGTGACCTTGGGCAAATTCACATAACCTCCTTATGCTTCCAATTCTTCTGTTTATAAAATGTGAATATTAAGAGTGCTTACTCATAGATATGTAATGAGGATTAAGGAGAAAAGGCAGCTCACAGTTAGTGCTTCATCCGTATTACTCATTGTTACGTAATGTTGCCCCGGGAAGTTTGACTAAGGCTTGTCAAACTGTGTTGCGTTAGTCTTCAAAGCAACCCTATGGGCAAATGAGGAAATCAAGACTCAGAAGTGCCTGGCACACCAAGGGTGGCCCAGAATTCAAAAGCCAAGCTATCTGATGCCAGAAATGTTGATCTCAATCATTGAGAGCCACAGCGCCTTCTGGGGGAGCAACCAAGCACAGCAAGGCTGAGTGACCAGAATAGTCTTAGAGGAGTGTGTCTTTCTCCTAGGAACCTCGTAGATGGTGTGGATAGAGGGTAGGGGTTGGTTTAGGGATTCGATGGTGAGTTGTTATGGGGTTGGGGATGTGGGCAGTGTTGGGAAATTCCTGAGCTACCTGAGGACCACTACCTTTTGGGGACAGGCGAAGTGGAAACAAGGTTCTTTAACTCTGCAGGGGTGCCCTGGGCTTGGAGAGGGGGAGCACTGGCTCCTTTAAGGCCTCGAGGGAATATATCTTCCCTTGCCTTAGAACTGTGTCCCAAAATCAAAGTAGAATGCGAAGTGGAAGAAATAGACCACTGTACCAAACACAGAGATTGCCCAGAAAACATGAAGCGTTGCCTGTTCAGCTGTGGAAAGAAATGTTTAGACCTCAGACAAGGTAACTCAGATGCTTCCTAAATTTCCCCGTGCCCTCACCTCCTATCTCCACCTGCACTGCACTGTCTCCTGGTTCACTGATGGTTAGTCTCTGACCTAGAGTTTAGGTACATCTTCTACTTGACACAAATCTGTCAGTCCTGGACTTGGGAGACACGGATTTTATTTCATTTTTTCCTCTATTTTGGTATGTGATATGAACAATGTAGTTTTCCTTTCTGGATCTCAGTTTCCCTTTCCATAAGACAGGTGTTGATATTGGACCACATGGTCTCTTGGCTACTCTTCAGTGATTCTTGAGATGCCAAGTAGTCACCGAAGTCTCATCAAATGCCAACATTGTGTCAGGTTATGTGATAGCTATAAGAGACAGGTATATAATCTGTATTTCCTGGCTTTTTTCTCCAGGCCTCTCTGTCTATATAAATCCAGGATGCCTTCCCTGACCACCTTAGACCACCTACACTCTTTCTTCTCTGCTCGTATTATTGAGCTCTAAAGAAGACCATCAAGGACTATTCATTCATTCTATTCATTCAACAAATATTGATTGGTGCCCGTGACAGCCATGATGGGTTCCACTTGCTCATTGTGGCCAGGAAGGTCAGAAAAGGTTTTTCTGGGAAAGATATCCATGATTTAAGATCTGAAAGATGAGTACTTAGACGAAAAATGGGAAGAAATAGCCTTTCAGGCACAGGTAATAGCATGTACAAAGGCTCTGTGGCAGGAGGCAGCATGTTCAGGCCTAGAAAGGCTGGAAAGCAGAGAGTGAGCAAGAGATAAGAAAGAGGAAGCTGGTAGTGTATATTCAGGGCAACTTGAATCTGTACTCCCAAGTGGCCATCCTCAAGTTTTGGGCTCAAATAAACGCCCTACTTAATCATATTTTCTGAATCTTGTTACTTTAGGTTGGCATACCTTTCAAGACAATAACTAGCTTTTCAGTGCTTTGACAAAACCTCAAGTGTGTGGCCTTCCAACCAGGCATCCGTGGTTTCATATTGTTCAAGCATTTGTTGCATCCCTATGGATTGCAGCTCTCTGTAAGTTCGCTGTTGCTGGACCAAGAAATAAGGCATACACAGATTTCTACAGAAATTGTAATTCTATAAGAGATTTTCAGGAGATGGGGAAGGCTGGTATCTTTCAGAGTGCAAAGCGATTTTGGAATTGAAATGATTTCTTTGGGTTAAAGTTTGCCACTGACTTGTGTTCCTGAAACATGAAGCATGAATATGTGGGCTGACAAATAGTCTCTCTTGCTAAATAAACAAGTAACAAATTTTAAAAAGAGAGAAAGATGAAGCTGGGCTAGATGGGGGAAGGAGAGCTGGTAAGAGATCTGGTCTTGATCCTAACAGCAATGGATTAACCTATGTTCAAATCCCTTACCATCTGTGTGGTCATAGGAAAGTTATTTAGCCTCTCTAAACCTTAGTTTCCTCATCTGCATAATGAGAACAATAAGAGGACCTACTTTACAAGATTAAATGTTAGTAGATGTCAACTACTAAGAATAGTGCCTGACACTAATCAGTGCTATCATTGTTGTTTTGTCATGCTTCAGACTATGAGGTTCTAAAGAACTCTATTTGTACCTCATAGCACTATGGGCAAAATAATTGCTCAATAAATGCTTAAGATCAGGGTAGATTTGAGTTTCGGGGTTTTTTTTTCTGTGACTACTCCTGAAGCATCCTCTCTATGCCAAATTACCTGCTAGAAACTGCTGTATCAAGACGGCATAAGATGCAACTCCCTCTCAAAAACCTCACATTCTCATGGAGGAATCAGAAAATGTGAACAAGAAAGTACATGGAAATGGTAAATGTGTGTGCAAGATTAAGAGGCAACAAAGAAAAGCAAGGAGTAAAGAATGAATCCAGGAAAGACTGCATAAAAGAGTCGATGTCTGGGAAGGGTTTTAAAGAATGAACAAGAGTGCACTTAGCAAGAGAGGTCTGGATATGTCAGGCATGTGCAAAGGCACTGGGTGTGTAAGAACATGCTATTTTTAGAGCATAATTTGGGAAGTTGGGTGTTGGGGCAGCATAAGAAATAAAGTTGGAGAGGAGGAGGAGAAAATGGATTCTGAAGTCCCTCTGGGTTTGGTAGAACTTTATCCTGTGCCCAGCAGATCTGCCATTCTGGAAACCAATGTCGAGCAGATTGCAGAAGTCTTGGAGATCAGCTGGTAGCCTTTCATGGAAGTCCTTGCAGAAGATAATGATGCTCGAATTAAGAAAGCGGCAGAAAGGAAATAAAAGAGAGCTATTTAGGAGGCAAAATCAGCCAGATTTAGTGTTCAGATGTTGGGGAGGCAAGGAAAAAGAAGCCATGTGATGTCACAGCTGTTCCTTCCAACAGCCCTGTTAGGCGAGCACGTTGGGATTTTGCATTCTCATCTTACAGATGAGGAAGTCAAGGACCAGAGAGGTAAAATGAGTGGTCAAGGTTCACACTGAATTGGGAGCAGAGCCCTGAGCCAAATTTGCTTCTCAGCGGAGACAAAGAGAGCGGTGGTCAGAGAAAGGGAGAGATGGACATACTCCAGGGAGACAGGCACCCAAACAGCTCTATTCTGTGATCTCCCTGCAGGTATATGCAGTATGCCACAGGAGGCTGGCCCCTGCCTGGCCTCCATACCACGTTGGTGGTACAATAAAAAAACAAAACAAAACAAAACAAAAAACCCTAAGATCTGCTCCAAATTCATCTATGGCCGTTGCCAGGGGAACAATAACAACTTCCAAACTGAGGCTATCTGCCTGGTCACCTGCAAAAAATACCATAAGTCCCGGAGGTCCCAGTCTCCTGTGCTCACCAAGGCCACACTGGGAGGTCTGGGTGTTGGCTGGTCTATTCCAAGACCTAGGTGGGCCTGGGGATGACAAAACCAGCTCTAATGCAGAAGTATAAGTAGAAGGATATTTTGGGAAAGAGGGTGGGAAGGGAGGGATTAGTCAAAGGGATATTGGCAAGTATGAGGTGAGCAGTGGGTGTAGAGAGAAAACAGAAGTGGTGGAGTATCCCAGACCAGGTCAGATGGAAGCCCAGTAAACCCAGCCCAGCCCTGGGCACCATTCATCAGTCAATCATTATTGGCCTTTACTTCTCACTAAGCCTTGTTGTTACTTCTCTTCCTTTTAAAGGTTATTTTTAACCAGGGCAACCACATACTTTATTGGCCAAACCAAATCACTTTTGAAAGTGTCTCAAGGTGAGGTGCCATTAATTATTACACTGGGACAACAGGCATAAACTGGGACTCTACTGGACAAGTCAGAACCCATGATCATTCTAGGATCCCCTAAACTCACCCTCATTCCGTTCCTGCCCAAAGATGTAAAAATGATCCCACCTCCTTTTTCCCATTAGGTGCAAGATTTGGTTCCTAATGTGGTCAGGGTCCAAGCATCTCACCCTTTATTCTTCTACCTCACAGGTTAGCCTTACTTTATACCGTAAGGAGGAGTTTGAATAACCTCCAGGATTTGGATCATAATCCAGGCCTCTCTCCACGTGTGCCTGATTGATGCTCCAAATTGGCTTCCACGGGCCAAACCTTGGCTGTTGTAGAAACTGAACTCCAGGAATTGCTTACACCCTTTCTTCCAGTGTAGCATATGTTCAAACACAATGCTCTTCCCCTTGACCACTTCTCAGTATGAAACTCTATGTCTTCAACTTTCAGAACCCCCATTTATTCGTGTGAAGGCTTCAGTTACCTTAATAAAGTGCTCTGTGGGGTCTGATTTCTCTGAGGCTGAATAATTCACATCTATAATATGCTGATATTGACATATACTCACATCTCTCTATATGTAATTTTCAGAGAACAAGAAGCCATTGCAAGCCGGGCGAGGTGGCGGGCGCCTGTAGTCCCAGCTGCTCGGGAGGCTGAGGCAGGAGAATCACTTGAACCCGGGAGGCAGAGGTTGCAGTGAGCCGAGCTTATACCACTACACTCCAGCTCGGGGAGAGAAGGGGGGATTTGTGTTTAAAAAAAAAAAAAAAAAGAAAAAGTAAAAGAAAGAAAGAAACCAAGTGCAAATAAGTACAAAAGAGAATATTATTTCAAATGAGGAGGGAAACTGCAACCAACTGCAAATTTGTAAAGGCTGACAAACACTAAAAATTGCACAAAACCCATATAAATTAATAATTCATTGTTTACATTTATGACATCAATTCTGTAAAGCACTGTTTCCGTGGAGAGAATGGAAAGATAACTAACTCTTTTATTTAACATGGTGATCAAAATATGATATTTTAATTTTTATTATAGGTGAATTGGATAAAACATATACCCGAATGCTTGCAGCCGTGCTTGATGTCTGTAGTTCTGTTACAGGTTTGTGTCCTAGAAACACAGGAATTTTAAAAAATTATCTTTTGTACAATTCCATTAAAAAAAGAAAAAATGCATGGTACATTTAAAATTACACATATTGAATTATCAAGTATATGCTTACTAGAAAAGAACTTCTGAACAAAGAAGCCATTGCATCTTCTGGTGACACCAGAAAAGGGAGAGAGTATGAAAATCCTGCAAATTGAGAACACTAGTGACATTGTTACTTTAGTAAAATTGTCGTTAAGATGCTGAAGAATGGAGCCAGTGCAGATCCAGATTTTGTATGGTCTAAACCTGATAAATCAGGAGCTCCTTTAGAAACCAAACACAGGCCAGGCACGGTGGCTCACGCCTGTAATCCCAGCACTTTGGGAGGCTGAGGCGGGCAGATCACCTGAGGTCAGGAGTTCAAGACCAGCCTGACCAACATGGTGAAACCCCATCTCTACTAAAAATACAAGAAATTAGCCAGGTGTGGTGGTGCGCACTTGTAGTCCCAGTTACTCAGGAGGCTGAGGCAGAATTGCTTGAACCTGGGAGGTGGAGGTTGCAGTAAGCCGAGATGGCACCATTGCACTCCATCCTGGGCGGCAGAGTGAGGCTCCATCTCAAAAAAAAAAAAATTGATGTATCTGTTATTTGAAAGAATGCTCCACAGGCTTATTTTCCTGGCTCCATACATTTCAAAACTTGTTTCTCCTCTACTACCCACAACCTTCTTGGGCTAAGAACGTTCATTTTACAGTGCAACCTCTAGTCCCATAACTTAGTGTCATAACGTCAAGGGAATCGGCCCAGTAGACAACGGGAGTATTATTTGCAGCTGCTCCTCCACCAGGACAGCTAGCAGCAACTTCCTACACATAGAAATGACAGCAAACGGCCTAAATATATTCTACTAACTCCAAAATAAATATATCCCCAACTCAACTTCCTTTTAATTTGCATGCCTAAAATGCTGGCAATCGCCCCAACACCACCTAACCCAGGAGAAGTGTGAAAGGTCAGAGTGGAAAGGGAAGGTGGATTGGCTGATTATGGTTAGAATATCTTACTTTTGCAGATATTACAGGTCATCTGACCATGTAACATATAGCTAGAAGCACTTCCAGAATCGCTCAAGCAAGGACCCTGAGGCTTGGCTCCATCAGCCTCATGGTAAGTCCATCTCTGAAAGGGCCCATGGACTTGTTTTCTGGAGTTGTAGCAAAGGAGACAGTTCCATAGCATGGTGCAGAAATTCTCCAAAATTGAAAATAGCTGGAGAGAGGCATGAAAGGGAGAGATGAAGGAAAGCAGAGTAGAGTTAAAGAAGAAGGGAGAAGAAAGGGGTGAAGGAGGAAAATAATGTGATGGTGTGACTGTTTTAAAGCAAGGTCCTACAATTCTTTCACTCGCCTTCCACCTAGAAGTGGGATCTATGTCCCCTCCTTTTGAATCTGAGAAAACTCTGTAACTCTTTGACCAAGAGAATAAAGCAAACATGATGCTATGTGACCTTCAAGGCTAGGCTAGAAAAAGTGCAAGTCCCACTTGATCCTCTTAGGTAGCTTGTTTGGGGGCAGTGGGAAACTGCCATGTAAGATGTCCAACTACTTTGAGAGAAGCCCATACTAGAGAGACCCATGTGGGTGCTGTGATCAGCAGGCCCAGATAAGCTCTGGCTGATAGCCAGCATCAATTCCAGCCATGCAAATGAGCTGCTCAACCCAATAGAGCCTTCAGATGGCTGCAGCTCCAGCAGACGTCTGACTGCAACCATGGGAAAGACCCTATAAAAGAACCACCAAGCAGATTGCTTCCCAGATGGCTGACCCACAATATGAAATGGTTGCTTTAAAGTGCTAAGTTTTAAGAAAATTTATTCACAAAATAGGTGATCAAAGATGGAAAGGGGCTAGCTGCAGTGGCTCACAGCTGTAATTCCAAGCACTTTGGGAGTCCAAGGCAGGCAGATCACTTGAAGTCAGAAGTTCAAGACCAGCCTGGCCAAAACGGCAAAACTCCATCTCTACTAAAAATACAAAAATTAGCCGGGCATAGTGGCGGGCACCTGTAATACCACCTACTTGGGAGGCTGGGGCAGGAGAATCTCTTCAGCCCGGGAGGCAGAGGTTGCAGTGAGCTGAGATTGTGCCACTGCACTCCAGAGCGAGACTTGGTCTCAAAAAAAAAAAAAAAAAAAAAAAAAAAAGATGAAAAGGGAGTAGAAGGAAGGATAGGGGACAGAAAGAAGAAAGAGATGCCCAGAGGACTGGGCAAGATAAGAGGATGCCAGGCTTAAGAAGGGAATCTCACAGCAGGCAACTTGTCATCACAGCACACCAAGACTTGCTATCTCTTGTCAAATAAGTTTCTTGTTTAATATAACTTGAATCAAGGGGCTCTAAAGAGGCTGGAATTCACTTGTCGTTGATGCTGTTGCCATCTCTACTCCCCTCTCTTTAGGGCTGGTTAAACTAATTGTAGAAAACTCTAAGGGCGCTGCAAAAAAAGGTTAGAATTAATAAACAAATTTATTAAAGTTATAGGATACAAAATCCACATACGAAAATCAATGGCAATTTTATACACCAAGAACAATCTCATTTCCATTAGCAGCAGCAACAACAAAACACTTAGTAATTAACTCAACCAAAGAAGTGAAAAACTTATGCATTGACAATTATAAAACATCGATGAAGAAAATTTAAAAGACACAAATAAATGGAAAGAAATCTCAGGCTCACAGATTAGAAGAATTAATATTGTCAAAATGTCCACACTACCCAAAGCAACCTACAGAGCACATGCAATTTCTGCCAAAATGCCAATGGCATTTTTTTACAAAAACATAAAAAGCAATGCTAAAATTCATATGGAACCACAAAAGACCCCAAATTGCCAAAGGAATTTTGAAAAAGAACAGAGCTGTAAGCATCACATTTCCTGATATCAAATTACACTGCAAAGCTAGAGTAATCAAAACAGTGTAGTACTGGCACAAAAACAGAAAAGCAGATATACAGGCCAATGGAACAGAATAAAGAACCCAGAACTAAGCCCACCCATTTGTGGTCAATTGATCTTTGACGAGGGTGTCAAAAACACACAATAGGCAACAGAAGATCTCTTTAACAAATGGTGCTGGGAAAACTAGATATCCATATGCAAAAGAATGAAATTGGATCCCTATCCAATACCATATACAAAAATCAACTTAAAATAGATTAAAGTCTTAAACGTAAGACCTGAAACTAAAATTCTTTAAAAAGTCTTGAAGAGACATCTGCATTTCCAAGTTCATTGAAGCATTATTCATAATAGCAAAGATATGAAAAAAACCTAAATGTACATCAGCAGATAATGAATTAAAAACTGTGGTGTGTGTATGCACACACACATACATGTTATACACATATATACAATGTATATATACATTATACAATATTTGTATGCATTATGTGTGTACACACACACAATAGAATAGTATTCATCCTTTAAAAAGTAGGAAATCCCATCATTTGCCACAACACAGATGAATCCAAAGGACATCATGCTAAGTGAATTAAGCTGGACACAAAAAGACAAATATTGTCTGATCTCACTTATATGTGGAATCTAAGATAGCCAAACTTGGGCTAGGAGTGATGACTCACGCCTATAATCCCAGCACTTTGGGAGGCTGAGGCAGGAGGATTGCTTGACGCCAGAAGTTCGAGGCTGCACCCTGGGTGACAGAATGGGATCCTGTCAAATAAATAAATAAATAAATAAATAAATTAAAAAAAAAGTCAAACTCATAGAAGCAGTGAGTAGAATGGTAATTACAAGGAGAATGTGGTGTTGCGGGGGGGAAGGAGAAAAATGAGAAAATATTGGTCAAAGAGTACAAAGTTTCCATTTCAGTTATGCAAGATAAATTAATTCTGGAACCTAACGTACAGTATGGTGACCGCAACTCACAATATTGTATTTCATACCCGAAATTTGCTAAGAGGGTGGATCTTAAGTGTTCTCATCACACAAGAAAAGGTTAACAATGTAAGATGGAGTATATGTTAATTTGCTTGAGTGTGGTGATCATTTGATATCAATATAGGAAGTTGCACGCTTTAAATATATATAATTCCTATTTGTCAATTATACCTCAATAAAGCTAGGAGGAGAAAAATAAAAACTCTTAGAAAAAATGTAAGAAAAAATCATCTTTACATTGACTTTGGCAATTATTTTTTGGACATGACATCAAAATTACAAGCAACAAAAGCAAAAATAGAGAAGTGGGATTATATCAAACTAAAATCTTCTGCACAGCAAAGGAAACAATCAACAAAATGAAAAGGCAAGCTACTGAGGAGGAAAAAATATTTGCAACCATATATGCTGTAAAGGATTAATATCCAAAATATATAAATAACTCACACGACTACTATTCAAGAATACATATCAAGAATACAAGTAACCTGATTAACAAATGGGCATCCAACAATTCTTGGGAAGCTGAAAAAAAAGGGCAAGGAACCTAAATAGCTATTTCTCAAAAGAAAAAAATTTAATGGCCAATAGGTATATAAAAATGTGCTCAAGATCTCTAATCATCAGTAAAATGCAAATTAAAACTACAGTGAAATGTTACCACACCCTGTTAAGATGGCTATTGTAAAAAAGACAAAAGATAAGTATTAGCAAGAATGTATAGAAAAAGGGCACCCTTGGATACTGTTGGTAGTGAGAATGTACATTGGTACAGCTACTTATGGAAAACAATATGGAAGATCCCAAAAAAATTAAAACTAAAACTACCATATGATCCAGCAATCCCCTTCTGGGTATATATCCAAAGGAACTGAAGTCAGGACTGAGAAGAGAAAACCGTGCTCCCTTGACTCGGCATCATTCATGGCAAGTACAGAAACAACCTGAATGTCTGTTGACAGATGAATAGGTAAAGAAAAAGGCTGGGCATGGTGGCTCTCACCTGTAATCCCAGCAATTTGGGAGGCTGAGGTGGGAGGATTGCTTGAGCCCAGGAGCTTGAGACCAGCCTGGGCAACATAGAAAGACCCCCATCCCTATAAAAATTTTAAAAAATTAGCTGGGCATAGTGGCATGTGTCCGTAGTCCCAGTTACTTAAGAGGCTGAGGCAGGACCATTGTTTGAGCCCAGGAACCCCTAGGCCACAGTGAACCATGATCACACCACTGTACTCCAGCCTGGGTGACAGAACAAAATTTTGTCTCAAAATAAATAAAATAAAATAAAATACACATATACATATTCAATGGGATATTATTAGCCTTAAAAACTAAAAAGGAAATGTTGCCATTTGGGACAGCATGAATGGAACTGTAGGATGTTATGATATGTGAAATAAGCAAGACAAAGAAGGAGAAATACTACATGATCTCACTTACATGTAGAATTTAAACATTTTTACATTAAATTGACAGATAAAATTGCATGTATTTATTGTGTATAACACGATTTTTTCCCCTCCATACTGCTTTTTGAAATAACATGTTTTGATACACACACACACACGCACACATTGTGGAATGGCTAAATCTAGCTAATTAACATATACATTATTTCACTAAGTTATTTCTGTGGCGAGAACATTTAAAATCTACTCTCTTAGCATTTTTTAATAATATACAGCTCCTAGATGCAGAGAGTAGGGTGATGGTTGCCAGGGGCTGGAGGGAGGGGGAAATGGGGTAATGTTGGTCAAAGGGGATAAAGTTTCAGTCATACGACATGAATAAATTCTAGAGATATAATGTGTGGCATGGTAAGGATTGCTAACAATACTGTATTGTATACTTAAATTTACTAAGAGAGTAGATCTTAAATCTTCTCAACACACAGACATACCACACATACATACATAGTTAACTATGTAGAGATTATAGATATGCTAATTAGCTGAAATGTGATCATTTTGTAATGTATACGTATATCAAAACACCAAGTGGTACACCTTAAATGTATACATTTTTTGTATGTCAATGATATTTTAATAAATATGTTAAACATTTTACAGCTAAGTCCAAATAATTACTGATAAAATGAGGTTTTTCCTTTTTTCTTTTTTTTTTTGAGATGGAGTCTCACTCTGTTGCTGAGGCTGGAGTGCATGGTGCGATCGTGGCTCACTGCAACCTCTGCCTCCTGGGTTCAAGCAATTCTCCTGCCTCAGCCTCCTGAGTAGCTAGGATAACAGGCATGTGCCACCACGCCCAGCTAATTTTTGTGTTTTTAGTGGAGACGCGGTTTCACCATGTTGCTCAGGCTGTTCTCAAACTCCTGACCTCATGATCCGCCCGCCTCAGCCTCCCAAAGTGTTAGGGTTACAGGTGTGAGCCACCGCGCTCGGCTGAAAATGAGGTTTAATGCAATTGTTTCAAAGTAACTCCCCAAATAGATAAGACATAATGTTTTTAAAGTGTTTGACACAGTATGAAAGAAGATCAATAGTATTCTGGAATTAATATTCTGAGTGATTACAGTAAAATTGTGCCAAATGTCTTGCCATTAACAAAAGAAGTCTATGGTGCCTGCTTCTGGTGTAGAAGGAGAGTAGGTGAAGATGTTAAAATCCTTGGAAGTGGGAGGATCAGGTCAGGTTCGTGATGAAGACCCTGAAAACGCTGCTCATTTGGCAGTTTTGCAAAGAGTCTGTCCAGTCACATTGTCCCCATGTGTGGTATCTCCCCATGTTGACATTTGCTCTTGCCTCCATACCTCTGTGAGAATTGGTCTCTTCTCCTGGGACACCTATCCCAGTCCTGTGCATCCTTAAGATCCGGACCAAATTACTAACCAGTCGTCTTTGGTCTGCATCCTATGGGAAAAGCACATGTCTGGGAATAAAGAGATCCAAATCTGAATCCCAAATTTACCCCTGGGTGAATGTACACTGTGGCTGGAACAGGATAGGGTGAAGGGATGCTCCTCTCAGGGCCTCAGTTTTGCATTTCTAAGATGAAGACGATGGACTAACGATGTCACAGTGTAGTTCTAAATTTGAGAAAATATGGCAGCTCAAGGACTTTGCCAAATCTGATAAGAACCTGGTGCTTGTCCTTCTCACCGGCACTCTTCAATCCTTGATTGGGGTTGACATACATGAATGAATGGAACAGAATCATTCTGTCCCTGACACCCATGGACCAAAGAGGCCCTTGGAAACGTTCAGAATGTGCCGTGTGGTGGACAGTATCTGCTTGCCGCTCTGTTCAAGAATGAACTCAGAGCCCTCAGGGCTGAGCTCTGAGAGCCCCTGCCTTGCAAGACCTCAGGGGGGCTGGGTATGTTGGGTCTCTTTATCACTGACTATTTGCTCATGACTCTGCCCATTAGATCCCAGAAGACATCTCAAGTGGAATCTTCAGGTGTTTCCCGTGGTACCATGCATATCCAGGACCTCTCGTCTTCCTCTCCTTCTTATTCTCTCTTTGGAGCTGCCTCCAGAGCCAGAAATGCCCAGAGGAAGCTTAAATCATTCGGAAACACAGGGAATGTCTAAGCCGAGGGGCCTAGAAAAACTCCAGTAGCCCCAATCCCTCTCTTTTTAAAAACACATGCACAAATGGAAGCTTCTAGCAGGGGAAATGGACTTGTTTAAAATCACACAGCAAATAAGTAGAAAAACTGGAGCTAACCAGGTCTGAAGGGTGGCAAAGTCTTGCCAGATCCCACGGACTAGTTGGAAATCAGGATGGATATAGTGACTATTTGTGATTTTGATTTTTAATGTTCAGTATCTAAATCTAATTCCTACTAGGACTTGCTACTAGGGAAGAGTCTTGGTGGGAGTTAAAAACCAGTATTCCCAGTACAAGAAATGAAAGAGCCAAGCTTTCACTCAGAGACGATTTAATATGGAGAATTGGTTACATGAGTATTAGAATCCCTCACTCCTAGATTTGGGAGTATAAAAGATTTGGCATTACCAGAACCCAGGAGTTAAGACAAGGGGCCCAGGCACACATAGCGCTCACACCTCTGGGGGAACAGAGAGGTGGGAGCTGTGACTGGCACTCTGTCTTCTAAAATTTCTGTAGCCAGTGTTGAGACCTCTGAGGGATCAAATGGTGCTTGGTCCACTAGGTGGTCCACTAGGTGGGGAGGCATGGCCAGCTGCATCTCTGAGGAGGTACCGTGCAGCTGGTTTGAAGAACCAGAAGCATCCAGAGCCTGGAGGGGTAACTGCTTCCCCTACCACAGACTTGCCTGTGTCACTTCCGTGGCTCTCATTCCCCCAACCCCAGGGACTTTCATAAAGATATCAGTGGTGGTAGCAGTGAGGGTTGGAGGAAGTTGTCTTACCCAGAGGAACAGAAGATGCAGCAAAACACTGTAGACCACACCTCTTTCAGGATCCAATTCCTTGCCAGCACCTGCCTCTTGTCAGACCAGCTGCACTCCACAGCTGAAACATGGTGTGTTTCATCTAACTGTCATTGAGACCTGGGTTTTGTGTTTGGAGGGAAGTTTCTACCCCCCATTCAGTGAGCTTTACATTTCAAAATCAACAAGTACTGCTACCTGGGCTGTCCTAAGATATCTCAGATGCCGTATAACAACAGCAGACGCTGAAGAAAATGGGCATGCATTTCAGTACTTGTTTAATACATTGTCTATCATTGATAAGCCATGGATTTCTTTTTTTAGCCAAATCACCTAAGGCAGTAACTCACTAGTACCAGTACACCAAGAATTCAGATTCTAGAGCCTTCCCAAAAAACTAAACTTTATAAATAAATGAAGCTCTCAAGGTAATTCTTTTTTTTTTTTTTTTTTTGAGACGGAGTCTTGCTCTGTCGCCCAGGCTGGAGTGCAGTGGCCAGATCTCAGCTCACTGCAAGCTCCGCCTCCCGGGTTCAGGCCATTCTCCTGCCTCAGCCTCCCGAGTAGCTGGGACTACAGGCGCCCGCCACCTCGCCCGGCTACTTTTTTTGTATTTTTTTTAGTAGAGACGGGGTTTCACCGTGTTAGCCAGGATGGTCTTGATCTCCCGACCTCGTGATCCGCCCGTCTCGGCCTCCCAAAGTGCTGGGATTACAGGCTTGAGCCACCGCGCCCGGCCTGGTAATTCTTTTTTGTAAATTCTATATAATGTTCCTTTTTTAAAAAATTTTTTACTGTGTATATTTAAAGTATACAACATGATTTTTTAAGATTCAGGGTAATTCTGATGCCCTGTAAGTTTGGGAACTACTAGTCTAATACTCCTGATTTAATATCACATTCCTGAAAAGTATTATTGAATGTAGGTCACATCACTTCTGATTCATCACACTTTTGTACATTCTTGCTTCCTTCTGCTATTAACTTTTGTTCTAAAGACCCATCCTTCTTAATTTGCTATTTCTGCTAAGTATTGTCCAGTAGAGAGTGCATCATTCATGATTCATCATTGCTGTCCTTTTGCTCAGTTTTCTTTCCCTGCTATTGATTTCCTCTTTACTGCCTACTTTAGCATATTAATTCATCAAGCAAAATGAGCACATCTTTGGTGGTGTTTCAACTCAGCAGTAAAGTAAAAGGAGGACATGGAGATGCCAAAGGTATATTTAGCTCCAATGTACTTTATTTTTAATGTCTAAGGAGTCTCCTCTTTTTCCCACAACTCCCTCCCCAAAGCTAATTCACTGAGAAACCTTGTCAAGTCAAGCTTCTCTCCCCCATCTACTGTGTCAGCTTTGCTGGTCTTATTTCAGTTTCTTAAATGCACTGAGCTCCTTACTGCCCCCAAAGCACTCACATGTGCTGGTCCTCATGTGTGGATTCCCTTCACCTCAAATCTTCATCACAGATCTTGTGCTTCTCTGTCATAGCTTTTATCATAATTTGTAGGTACATATTTAATTGTGACATTATTCAATGTTTTTCTCCCCTCTAGACATTAGACTATAAAGAAAAAGCATTGTGCCTTTTCTTACTAGTGTCTGACACAGGAGAGATCTTCAATGGATATTTGTTGAATGAATGGAAATGCATCATATAATAAAACACACCTTAACGTGAAGGGCCAAGGGGGAAGGGCTGGTTACTGGAACAAAGATCTATATGGAAGGGGTATCCTGAAAAGAGCAAGTTGAGGCATCCATGCAGACTGTGGAGACACAACCAGAGGAAGCCGGGGAATAAATACCCAAACCTTAGTCCCAGTCTTTCCTCTAATCTCCTTCTGTGCCTCATGGGCTGGTTCCAAGCAGAAGCCAGAGAGCAAGATAACTGTTGATGCAACCCATACATTTGGTTTTCTGAGGTATAAAGCAGGGCACAGAAAAGGGGGTAAATGGGTCCAAAAGAGGAAAGAAAGAAATTCACATCCATCTCTCAACATTCACTCTTGGGTTCTGTCCACATGAAAAGTCCATGTCCCATCATGGAGTTGCATGAGTCTCCCTGGTCACCAAACCATTGTGGGAGGTATCAGATGGTCACATACCTAAAAGCTAAAATGCTAGCCATCACCAATATTCCTCATATTCAATTGTGGAAGAAGGGAGGAAAGAAACAGCTAACATAAAACAGCGACTACAGACCCCACCTGTGTGTCTGGTCATGAAGTTCAGATGATAACAATAACTGCCTTCTCCCAGCATCCTTTCTATGTTTCCATTACCTTCTGCCAGTTAGATGGAGTGCTTCACCTGATGAGGTGATCCAAACTTTCATTCCTGTGCAGTCTGAGCCCTTCATGATCTTTCCTTTATGGGGTTCCCACAGTTTTTCATTGATCAAGACTATTGTACAAAGGAGTTCTAAGAGGTGCCAATGAATATCTTGGGTTCTAGGTTTTGATGGTTAATCTTATGCATCAACTTGACTGGGCCACAAAATATCCAGATTAAACATCATGTCTGGGTTTGTCTGTGAGGGTGTTTCTGGATGAGATGAGCATTCGAACTGGTGGACTCAGTAAAGCAGACGGCCCTCCTGAATGTAGGTAGGCATCATCCAATCCATTGAGGCCTGAATAGAGCAAAAGATAGAAGAAAGAAAAATTTGTCCCATCTTTCTGCCTCATTTCTTGAACTGGGACATCTCATGTCATCTTCTCCTGCCCTTGAACAAAGATTCACACCATCGACTCCCCTGGTCTCAGATCTTTAGACTCAGACTAAATTATACCATCAACTTCCAACTTTCCTGGGGCTCCAGTTTGCAGATGACAGATCATGGGAGTTTTTGACCTCCAGCCTCTATAACTGCAAGAGCCAGTTACACACACACACACACACACACACACACACACACACACACACACACAGAGTCTTATATTGGCTCTGTTGCTCAGGAGAACTAGTATACAGACAAATTTCCTTACCTCCACTGTACAGCAGCAACCCAATTTCCCCTTGGTTATCAGGATTAACCACCCATCTGGTGCAGGGACACCCTCCCCTTTCTTTTGATTAAGTGGTATGAAAAGCCAATAATATCCAAGGAGCAGTGTTTGCTCTTAATTCTGCAAAATCCCAACAGTGTTTTCCTGTGGAAGCATTCCTCCCTTGAGCACTAAGACTACCAATCCCACTAAGCCCAGGACCGGGAGGATGAGAGGCAAAAGTTCCTCTAGTGGGTTATTATTAGATGTGAAAGTCAGAGAAGAATCCCTCTTAATCCTGGGCTAAAATTACAATCATTTCGGGAGCTTTTAGAAAATATTGATGGGCAGGGTGTGGGCATGGGAAAGGGGGTGGGGAGGGAGGGAAAGAGGAAGGTAAGACAACAGATAAGGACCACTTCCATCAGGGACGGGTCAGTGTTTTGTTCTTACTAGAATAGATACTTACTCTGAACACTAATCTGCCCTCCCTGCATGGAACGCTTCTGCCAGAACTACGATCTGTAGACTTATGGAATGCCTTATCCACTGTCATAGTATTTCACACAGTGTTGTTTCTTATCAAGGAACTCATGTCACAGTAAAAAAAATTACAGCAATAGGCCCGTGCTCGTGATATTCACTGATCTTATTGTATTTCCCAGCATCCTGAAGCAGCTGGTTTGATAGTACCTTGCAGGACGGGGGGCAAAGGTTCTGCAGGCTGTATATGCTCTGAATCAGCCTCCAATATATGGTACCCTTTCTCCCATAGTCAGGATTCATGTGCCCAGG